ATATATATATATATATATATATATATATATATATATATATATATACTGTTTTCATTTACTTTTAGACAGAATTTAGCATGTGACACCACAGGACTTTCAATTTTCCAAAAGTATTTTGTGTCAACTATGCAATATTTGACTTGCTTACATCACTAGAGCATTAACATCAGATATTATTTGTTTTAAAACACCTTGCTTTTGTTTTTTCATAGTTTTGGAAAAAAGTGAATTTAAGGACGAGCCTCTTCTGTTTCGTTTCTTTGCCGACGAGGAGATGGAGGGTTCTAACACCAAACACAAGCCCATAAAGCACGATCTAAAAATAGTGGAGAATGTCATCGCCAAGTCGCTGCTGGTGAGAGATGTCGTCTGTAATCGCCTACAGCTAATGCCACTTACAATAGCGCACGTTAGCGTGAACCCATGTGGTTTTCATCCACTCGCATGGGGCTTTTCTGCTTCGGCACGTACGGGGGGTCTGAACTCGGGCCGGCTCTGACTCTAGAGTCATCACCAGTAATTATGCTTGACTGTTTCTAAACCAGCCTCTCATTACACTTAAACATGCAATCATCTGGTTTGACAGTTTTGGCTCATGAGAGACTGTAGTTCACATTCTAGGAGCAGCTCCAAAACATGAATTGTAATAAAATGTCACTGTATGACAAAGCCAAAGCTACTAAGTCATGATAACTGTGAAATGTGTACTCTGATTTCAGATAAAGCCAAGTGAAGGAGGCTATGGCTTCACGCTAGAAGACCGAAACAGAGTGCCCATCGTCAAATCAGTGGAGAAAGGTTCCCCCGCTGAGGTGTGTGTGATACTTTTGTGTAGGTGATTTAGAAAACAGAAATACTATTTTATTTGAGTCATAAGGTCACTCTGGTTCTCAGCTAGTTTTGCTTCAAGACCCAGATTTTACTTTGGATATCAAGTGGTGACTTGAGTTCTTGTTCAATATTTTTTATCATACAAAAGTAAAAGTAACACTTTTGTAAAAAAAGACAAACAAAAAAACTGACTGATATAAAAATTATAATTAAACTTTATTTGGAGTACTACTTGTGCACAATGCACATTTCATAATATTAAGCCTAAAATGCATTTTAATGTCACTATTGATGAGGATTGTGTGATCTTTGAATAATATGGGTCTTTAAATGCAAAATATTTAAAGTGTACCTAAAGTATACTTGCAATAGTTCCACTTTAGCACAATCAAATACTTCAATATATCTTTAGTTGGACTTCAGCACTACTTCTGCACAATTAAATTGCATTAAGTATAAAATTAGTTGTTCCAGTTTAGTATTCCAAAAGTGCAATTTTATTAAGTACATAAATATGTAAATATATTTGTACTATACTTAGCATGAAAAAACTGAAACTCTCTGTACGGCTCTTGTCATTCCAGTACATTATGTGTTACCCTCTTCTGTGTAGTTCACAAATTCAATTTACACATCAATTTGATTCTCATCTGCTGCATGACAAGGAGCCGCCAAAACATAACAACAAAGTAGTTGCTATAAAGTTGCTTCTTGTTCTGTAAGTTATAGAATACTATTAATAATTGGCGTGGAATGAAATTAATTAAATGAATAATTTAAGTGAAATGAAATTAAGTAGTAGTCAAATAGAATCAGAATGTTATTTAATTTAGACAGAGTTTAGCATGTGACACCACAGTACATGTAAATTTCAAATATCAGATTTTTGGCTTTTTTGGAAATTTAGCACTACTGAATGAGCATCAGGTATAATTTGTCCTAAAACATCTTGCTTTTGTCTTTTTGCAGTTTTGGAAAAAAGTGAATTTAAGGACGAGCCTCTTCTGTTTCGCTTCTTTGCCGACGAGGAAATGGAGGGTTCCAACACCAAACACAAGCCCATAAAGCATGATCTTAAAATAGTGGAGAATGTCATCGCCAAGTCGCTGCTGGTGAGAGATGTCGTCTGTAATCGCCTACAGCTAATGCCACTTACAATAGCGCACGTTAGCGTGAACCCATGTGGTTTTCATCCACTCGCATGGGGCTTTTCTGCTTCGGCACGTACGGGGGGTCTGAACTCGGGCCGGCTCTGACTCTAGAGTCATCACCAGTAATTATGCTTGACTGTTTCTAAACCAGCCTCTCATTACACTTAAACATGCAATCATCTGGTTTGACAGTTTTGGCTCATGAGAGACTGAAGTTCACATTCTAGGAGCAGCTCCAAAACATGAATTGTAATAAAATGTCACTGTATGACAAAGCCAAAGCTACTAAGTCATGATAACTGTGAAATGTGTACTCTGATTTCAGATAAAGCCAAGTGAAGGAGGCTATGGCTTCACGCTAGAAGACCGAAACAGAGTGCCCATCGTCAAATCAGTGGAGAAAGGTTCCCCCGCTGAGGTGTGTGTGATACTTTTGTGTAGGTGATTTAGAAAACAGAAATACTATTTTATTTGAGTCATAAGGTCACTCTGGTTCTCAGCTAGTTTTGCTTCAAGACCCAGATTTTACTTTGGATATCAAGTGGTGACTTGAGTTCTTGTTCAATATTTTTTATCATACAAAAGTAAAAGTAACACTTTTGTAAAAAAAGACAAACAAAAAAACTGACTGATATAAAAATTATAATTAAACTTTATTTGGAGTACTACTTGTGCACAATGCACATTTCATAATATTAAGCCTAAAATGCATTTTAATGTCACTATTGATGAGGATTGTGTGATCTTTGAATAATATGGGTCTTTAAATGCAAAATATTTAAAGTGTACCTAAAGTATACTTGCAATAGTTCCACTTTAGCACAATCAAATACTTCAATATATCTTTAGTTGGACTTCAGCACTACTTCTGCACAATTAAATTGCATTAAGTATAAAATTAGTTGTTCCAGTTTAGTATTCCAAAAGTGCAATTTTATTAAGTACATAAATATGTAAATATATTTGTACTATACTTAGCATGAAAAAATATTTAAAATACATTTTAGTATATTTATTTTTCACTAGGGTAGATTTCATGGTTATTTGAATTTTGTTGATTTTAATAAATTGGCTTTTCCAAGGTATTTCCTACCATAGCAAAATTAGAAAAGAAAAAAAGGGTGAGGGGTTTTAATAAGAATTTACACACCTGTTGTCAAGCTAATCTTTTAGTTTGCTTGTGCTCAATCAGACCAATTAGGCATTTAAAGATCAATTGAATCCCTAAACCTTGATAATTAACAATTAACACTCTCTATTGTGGTAATGCACATTTTGATGTTTGCGGTTGTGGGCTTATAACACAAATAGACCTCAAATCACGCCAGTCTTGAGGTTCCCTTTTAGTGCTTTAATATCTGTTAGATCAAACCCTGGTAAATGTGGTCAAGTGAACTGGCTCGGTTCTGACGTAGAGAGAGTAATGCTACCCAGACCTGAAGTAACTTGTGCGTCACAGTACGGGGCTCCACGCTGCATTACATGTGGATCTGTTTCCAATGAAGAGCAGAGTGAAAAAAGGCAATAAAATCCAGCTGTGCACTTACATAGATGTAGAGCTGTCTTGTAAAAATAGCAAAATGGACTTTCGTGCTTGTAACTGAAAAAAGACAGTGGCCGAGATGGAGAGGATAAGGTAAAGAGCTATAATAAAAAGAGAAAAGTGAATGAAAAAGGGAAAGAGAAAACAAGAGAAAAAGAAAAAGCTGCCCAAGCGTTTTTCTCAATGTAGAGGAAAAACATGAGCCGGAAACGGAGGACTGTGCATTTTATTGTAAGAGAAGAATGGTTATATTTATAGCTGTCAAGAGACGTGTCCAATCCATTCAGTGAAGCACAGAGTGAATGAATTACATCCACTTGAGAGCTCAGAGCAGGAAGTTGCACATGTAGATGAAAGGATTGAACCCTGCACCTGTGAAAATGAAATTTATCTATGCTTTCAGCCATCCATTCATGCACATACATACTGTACGAGATATATACATTAACCTCAAAATAGTTATTTCCCCTCAAGTATGCACAGCAAAATGAACAAAGGTGTCGTTCATCACATCAACTTCATCCAATGTGACAAACGAAACAAAAAGAAATAGTGATTTTTAAGTATTTTTTTAACTATCTTTACAATTTTTTTTAATACTATCTATACTATTTTTATACTATAGCTAAGTTTGAGGTTGGTAAGATTAATTGATTTATTGATTACCAAGGCTGCATTTATTTGATCAGTATCAAAATCAGATCAAATACAGTAAATAATCAGTGATATTGTGAAATATTTTTACAATTTAAAATAACACTTTTCTATTTGAATATATTTTAAATATAATATTATTCCTGTGACGACAAAGCTGATTTTTCTGTGTCCATTACTCCAGTCTTCAGTGTCACATGATCCTTCAGAAATCATTCAAATATGCTGATTTGATGCTCAAAGCATTTTTATTATTATCAATAATGAAAACAGTTGTGCTGCTTAATGTTTTTGTCTTCAGGATTCTTTGATGAATAGAGCATTCAGAAGAACAGCATGTATTATGAAACAATGTAAAAGAATTTACTGTCACTGATTAGTTTAATGTGTTGAATAAAAGTATGAATGTATCATATTAATATTAATAAAGTGTTAAATAAGTGTTCCTTCATAAAATAAATAAATTAATTAACTACAAATTAAATTGCAAACCTTTTTTTGTGAAATGATTTACTTTGAACGTGTTTGTCATAGCTTTTTTTTTTAAATAAATAACTGTTTTATGTTTTGCTGTCTAATGTCATTTTCACATTTTTAAGTGTGCACATCATTTTGGAGCAACTGTATATCTAGGTTGAGAGGTTATTTGATATTCCTGGGCGTCTCTTGTGCAGATGGCTGGTCTGGAAGTGGGGAAAAAGATCTTTGCTATTAATGGGGACCTGGTCTTCTTGAGACCTTTCCAGGAAGTGGAAAACTTCCTAAAGCAGAGCTTCCACAGCAAAGGTTCCCTCAGAGTACTGGTCAGCACCAAACCCAGAGAGTGAGTAGAAAACTTCTCATCTCCTGTGATCTAAAGACTTCATAACACCATACAGACTATCTATAAAGCCCGATATCAATTAAATCAAGAACCCTGCCAGATAAACATCCTTTTATTGATGAATATCAGCTTGATATTTAACTGCAACTCAGAATACACAACATGCCTGGAGCAACGGCCGGGATATGTGGTGTGTTTGGCAACCAAATTGATGTCGTGTGTCTATCTGCTCCACAGGACTGTGAAGATCCCAGACTCTGCAGACGGATTGGGCTTTCAGATCCGGGGGTTCGGGCCATCTGTGGTGCATGCGGTTGGCAGAGGTAAGAGCAAAACAGAGAGAAGGGAAGAGAGGAAAACTAGGCTGGACTAAAGGAAGTTACTAGTGCCCTTTATATCTTACTGTGTTTTTGAACCTCAGCTGGATCACAGCTGGAGCTGTAGGTACATGACTTGACTTGAGCCAGATTGAGAAGAGCATCACACACACATATATATATCTATATATAGAGAGAACAAGCTGCACAGCTCTCGCTTCCTGCTGTGTCTGCAGTGCATTCTCATCAAACATGGTGAGAGATGAATGAAAAAAGAAAAACAATCCAGCTTGCACTGTCATCCCTGAAGAGAATAAGAGATGGAAGAAGAACAGTCCTCACTTTGCAACAAACAGAAGCTACTTGCATCCAAAATATGTCATTTACAAATTCAAATTCTATATGAATCCAATTCATTTGATCAATTTTGAGAGTCCGTTTGCCTGAAGGGTTTGAAGTCTGACTGATTCTTGTGGAAGTTAACAAGATTGCAAAAATATGTTGCCAAGACTGATATATCGGCTGATATTTAGTATTTTTCAATTACCGCTAAGTTTTTCAGTTTGGCTGATAAGCATCAGATGTTGGGACTTTTATTTTGACATTGCTGAGAACCTGGTCTTTCTTTGAAAAATATGATTCCTAGTGCACACAAACTTACTAGATTACTGATTGCACTGTTGGTAAAAGAGTTTACTTCCTTTTTATTTGTGTTTTCAACATCTGTATTTGTGAAAAATACTATGATAAGATTACATGATAAGAAAATCACGAAGTTCCTAAGTCTAAAACTGTTTGTTTTACTAATTAGTTTTTTATCAAGTGCAATTTATTTATTTAAATTCATTCATAAATTCATAATTCATAAAATTAATTCTAAAAAAACGTTGAGGAAAAATTATCTAAAACATATAGGAAAATGTAACTGCAGAAACTATACATTTGTTATTTACTACTTTTAAATTAAACAGTGTCGTATCATATATATCGTCTTAATATTGGCCATCGGTCAACTTGCTCTCTAAGATATAAGCATCAGACATCAAAACATATCGGTTGACCACAACTTCTAACTAGCTTAATCAGTAAGACATCAGTAGCCAACCAGCTTCACTAGAAAGGCGTACACTATTTTGATGGCTAAAAATTCAGTTCTGTCATGAAAGTCTAGATGGCACAGGCTGATGATATTCACAGCGTTAAACTACTTGGCACAAACTGATTGATTCATGTTGCATATGCAGTCAATGAGCTTGCTGCTTTACATTTAAATGGTTGGTTAGCATTCACTAGAGCATTTCACAGCACACATTCAGAGTTCCTCTGAAACCCTCCACCTTCCCCAGCTCCACCTGTATAGATCTGCTACGGGTTATTTTATATGCTATTTGTTCAGTAGTATGTCTTAAATACTCACAGCTCCATATCAGCATATGAATTGGCAGTAGAAAGTTCCTGTAATTGCTTTGCTTTGCAGCAGCAATAATCTACAACAACAGCATTAACCAACAGCAGCAGCAATTCAGCAGTGTAGCAGACCTATTCTGCCAAGAACAAATATATTAACATTGTCATATCCATTACCATGCTAAAATATTCTGGGAGTTGTCATGATAGATCTATGGTGACATGTCAACATGCTTTTAGCTAGGTTTTGCTTGTGCCTAAACCAGCTCTAACTAGAATAAATTGTGTAAGGTACAGTATGGACATTTATGCTAGCCTAAACTAGTCTTTTCAGCAGGGTAGTACAGAAACATGAATTTGAGTTTCTTTTCCAGATTTAGAAGGTCAGCTGCTCCTTCAGTGATTGCTGTTCATAAGCTCAGTGGGGAGTTGTGATAATTATTACCTTGCCTAATGTGCTTGCTTGTTCTTAAAAATCGCTTTTGCCTGAATTTCGCTGGCTGTAGAAGTGAGAGAGCGTTTGCTCAGGAAAAAAAATAAGAAATGCAGTGTAAGGACTTCAGACCATAAAGTGTGATTAGAGAAACAGGAAAAAATTTCTGAGGCGTGCACTTTTAATAGAGACAAATATAATCAGTATAAGGCCTTGTTTAGGAGATTATGCAAGCAAACTATGAATATTTAGTCTCTGCAGTGAAACTTCAAATGTTGGCCTAGTCTTTAGACATCTTTTTTAGGATCCACACATCATTTACAGATAAAGAGGTCCTGATTTTACTGATGTTTCGCTTTTCTGAAAACTAACTGTTATTTTACAGTTTAGTATCACCTGCTGTAATACAGAAAGTGGCGCCCATGCCAAGTGGATCTGTCTGTGCTAGACGGATCCTAACATTAGGGTCAAACTGTTTATGTGTCATTCACTTTGCACACTGTCATTCAGACATGAACTATGAAAGAATTGTTACTACAGAGAAAATCAGGGCCATTTTTTATGCTTTACATCCAAGTAGCTATTTATGGGTCTGCTTGTAAAAATGCTTATGAGATTATGTGTCTAGGAGATTTGTGTTGATTTATGTTTCTCCCTTCCTCATTGTGTATGCACAAAAACATCTGTTCAGCTCAGAAAGCTCTGTTTCAATAGTGAACCACCTCACTGTCTACCAATTACATAGGCAGATACCTTCTAAGGCTGCACCCTAGCCAGCATACAATCTTAAAAGTTTTTTTTTTTTTTTTTTAGATTTGAGACACTCTACACTGGGAAACAGCTCTAAACTCCACACAAATAGCACTCCTCACAGGAGAATCAATTAAGTTTGCATGCTGTAACTTATTGTGTAAAACAGTACACAAATAACACTCTACAGAGGAGTTTGGCACCAAAATGTTGCTAAGCGAACAGAATAACACTGTTTAAGTCATCTTAAGAATATAGTACATAAACGACCCCCTGCAGAGGAGAATCATTTTGATGTTATCATGTCCCTTATTAAAAAGTAGTATACTTCAAGTTTATTTTAGTAAGTATACTTAAGTAAAGTTCAAGTATATTTTCAAGTATACTTTATGTAGTAAGTATACAAATATCAGTGTACTAGTAGTATACTTGTAAGTGTACTATTTCAATACTCCTTGGGACACTTTGAAGTATAGTCTCAGTAAACTACTAGTTTAGTAGTTTTATACTGCAAGTATACTCATAAGTTTTTTTTAAGTGAACTTTACATCATACTTTAAGTATACTACTATGTCCCTATTTAGGTATTAATTTGTATATATTTTGTTATATAAATATCTGAACATACAAAACATCAAAAGAACAGGGTATCTGCTTTAAACAAAAACATTTTATTCTAGCTTCATGCATTCTTTTTTTAAACACTTGAATGTGGATAAGTTTCATAAATAAAAAATAAAGAAATAAACAAAATTTTGAACAAAAAGCTGAAAAAAAACTATGAATTGGATTCAGAATGATAATCAAAATGTAGATAAAGTCGATCAACACCCCAAAGCTTGACAGTCATTATTACCTCTTCTTTGTTCGACATTTTATTCCATAATGTTACACAGTTTTGATACCGTTTTATGTCTGATGATCATGTTAGATTACATGTGGAAGCATCTTTTGTTTCGGTTTCTTCTTCACTTGTGTTTTTTGGAAATTCTGTACAGAAGATGTGTACTAGCCCCCTACAGTATAACAATGAAAACACGGATTCTAGGAGCACAATTATAGCTAAAATATATTTAGACTTTTTCTAAGTATAAGTCAAGTATACTTAAATGTCATTTTAAGTATATTTCTGAGAAGTACATGAAGCCCATTTCTGAGAAGTACATAAAAAGTAGATTAAAGTATACTTTCCTATTTTTAGTTTAAAATAAGTATACTAATAGCACACTTGAATAAACTGCTAATGGCACAATACTCTCGTTAGCATTAATTACGAAAAGTAACCATGGTTTTACTACAAATAAAAACAAAAAAATATGGTTACTATACCCTGCTGAAAAAAATCAGCTAAAAAGCCTAAGCTGGTTGATTGGTCTTACCTGGTTTAAGCTGGAAGTAGCTGGTTTTAGCTGGTCTCCCAGCCTGACCAGCTAAAGAAGTGGTCAAAACCTCTCTAAAACCAGTCTGCTGACCTTTTTTTTTTCAGCGGGGTAGTTAAACCATGGTAACCACAAATTAACTATGGTTTTGCTACTATAACCATAGTTTAACCATGGTATTTGTATTAAAACTGTAGTTATACAAATGTTAATCAATATGCCAAAATACCATGGTTACAACACTTTTACTGTAACCATGGTTAATTTTCGTTAATAAGGGATAACAATTCATAGAACATAAAAATATTGAGTAAAATTGTACTTGTTTACAATACTGCACACTGAATTGTTTTTATCTAAACTTTTCAATACTGAATGCTTTTGAGTACTTAATTTTGTTTGCATCATTTTGCATTCTGCTATTATATGCAATACTATCTTAGAATTTGCCTAAATATATCTTATCTCTCTTCCTGTTTCCCAAAAGGCACCGTTGCGGCAGTCGCAGGCCTTCACCCGGGTCAATGCATCATTAAAGTGAATGGCATTAATGTGAGCAAAGAAAGCCACGCCAGTGTCATCGCCCACGTCACAGCCTGCAGGAAGTACCGGCGTCCCACACAGGTAAGACTGCGAGCATCTCTCAGCCCCTCCATGGAAATGCACTATTTCTGATCTTTCTAAGTAGTAAATTTGTATATATAAAACACTACAAAACACATAACAGAACACTTTGTTATCCGGTCCGAGTCATTACCCAGCAATAATAGCAGTTATGACTTCTTTTGCAGAACAGGGCAGGGAAGAATGCCAGGAAGCTGGCTGGGGGTGTGAGGGATATGGGTCAAGGAATGGGCCAGGCAGGCCTGTGTTGGAGTGTAATAAAGGACAGGCTTGGCACAGAATGAAGTAGGACGATGTGGTTGGCATGCTGGCTGGACTCTGGTTTCCATCAGACATGGAAAAAGAATGAGGGGGTGCCCACCCTCCTGCTGAGCAGGGATTTGCAGCCCACCATCCAGAGGAGGGAAATGTAGGGGAGATATTAACAGAAACAGAGCTGAGGTGGATGTACTTTAGTCTGTTAAGCATATAAAGGCCCTGATATACTCATAGCGAAGTTCTTTATCGTTCGGCACTTAGGGGTAAAAGGAAGTTTGAAATACCTAAGCAGCAGTATACTGCTAAGAAGAAACAGAATATGGACTATTTTATCGATGTCCTTACTACCTTTCTGGGCCTTGAACATGGTAGTTCTGTTGCTGTCTATGCAGGGTCAGAAAGCTCTCAGATTTCATCAAAAATATCTTAATTTGTGTTCTGAAGATGAACAAAGGTCTTACGGGTTTGGAACGACATGAGGGTGAGTAATTAATGACAGAATTTTCATTTTTGGGTGAACTATCCCTTTAAATGAAAGTTATCCATTTACTCTACATTTAACCTCATTAGCCGCGTTTCCACTGTCGGGCCAAAAGCGGGCGTGCTAGTGCGTGCCAGGGCCAGTTGCGTTTCCACTGTCACCTCCGGGGCTTGATTGTGCCTCGTCGGTGCTTCCTTGGGGTCAAAGGCCCGAACTATCCCTTTAAATGAAAGTTATCCATTTACTCTACATTTAACCTCATTAGCCGCGTTTCCACTGTCGGGCTTGATTGTGCCTCGTCGGTGCTTCCTTGGGGTCAAAGGCCCGGGTTTTTTGGCCAGACCTTGGCCCAAAGCGGGCCAGCTGGGGCCAGAGGAGTGGTTATGAACGAAGGCGGAGTTTCTCCGCATCTGGAGAGCGTTAGAGAATTTTCATTTTTGGGTGAACTATCCCTTTAAATGAAAGTTATCCATTTGCTCTACATTTAACCTCATTAGCCGCGTTTCCACTGTCGGGCCAAAAGCGGGCGTGCTAGTGCGTGCCAGGGCCAGTTGCGTTTCCACTGTCACCTCCGGGGCTTGATTGTGCCTCGTCGGTGCTTCCTTGGGGTCAAAGGCCCGGGTTTTTTGGCCAGACCTTGGCCCAAAGCGGGCCAGCTGGGGCCAGAGGAGTGGTTATGAACGAAGGCGGAGTTTCTCCGCATCTGGAGAGCGTTAGCGCCGCGGATCATTTCATAAAGTTAACAGCTATAACACCAGCATTAAAGGCTTTTAAAATTATTTTAGTTCAAAACTCACTTTCAGACAGCAGCGAGTGTTTGAAATAACTTGTTCCGATGTGGATTATGATCACTATACAATGATCGTTGTTTATGATCGTGGATTATGATCATTGTTCCTGAGAGGCATGTAAAGGGCGTGTTTTAGTGAAGCGCAGCGTAGCTTCTGGCCCAACGGTGGAAATGCAGCATGATTTTGGCCTCTGTGCTATTAGCCCCGCCCGGCCCGTTTAAAGCACTGGCTCGCTCTGGCCCGACAGTGGAAAAGCGTCTAGTGCTATCTACTAGAAAAAAATAAGGTTTTAGCTTTTTGATTTTAGTGTCTAATGGGAGTGTGTTATCAACTCGCAAACCATGTTTTGAAAGCAAGTCTGTGTTGTTGTGTTTTGTTGCTTCTTGTTGCAGCAAGACTCCATTAAATGGGTGTACAACAACAGTGAGAGTGCACAGGAAGACCACCAGAGAACCAATCAGAAGCCCGCCGCAGGGGAGAACGGAGATGTGTTTGAGTGTAAAGTTGAAGGTGCTGTTACACACACAAGTGCAAATACATATTGTACTGTATACACAAGTACACACTTTTTCAACCTCCCACTCTAGCCTTGATATTTATTCTTTTTCTTCTTCTTTGTCTTCTGAGACTAACTCTACAAGTCACACATCAGAATAGCCTCATGCAGGATTCACAGGACATGGGAACAACTCATGTCTCATGGTTGACATTGACAGCACTGATTTTTATATTTGCTTTTGTAAATGTAGTCAATATGTTGTGATAGCAAGTTCTTAATTTTTATTCCATTTTATTTTATTTATGTTATTTTAAATATGCATTTAATTTAATTTAATTTCACTCTACAAGTCTCACTTCAGTAGAATTCATAGGACATGGAAAGATTGTATATATCTAATTTACTTTGATTGAATTTAACAATTTAATTACACATTGACAATGAAATTATGAAAATGTGATGGAAAAACTGCAACAAAGTAAAGTTATTTTCTTTAATTTAAAATAAAAACTATTATCATGATAATATCATCAAATTTTTGAATTTTTTGACTTCATTATAGTTATTGAACTAAAAATTTTTTTTTTGCATTGCTGCATTTTCATCAGTAATTTCATTGACAAGATTAACACTTTTCTTCACCTTAACTGGCCTAATAAAATATAAATATAAATGGATATAATGCTTGTACAGTGATTGGTATTTTGTTAATACGCAGGAAGTAGACTGGTGGTCTCTAGATGAGCTTTAGCCATCAAAATATTGGCTTTGGATTATGTATGTGCTTATTTTGTCTCTTTTGATCTGCTCAAACTAGTCAGGACATGGAAAGATTGTATATATCTAATTTACTTTGATTGAATTTAACAATTTAATTACACATTGACAATGAAATTATGAAAATGTGATGGAAAAACTGCAACAAAGTAAAGTTATTTTCTTTAATTTAAAATAAAAACTATTATCATGATAATATCATCAAATTTTAGCATTTTTTGACTTCATTATAGTTATTGAACTAAAAAATTTTTTTTTGCATTGCTGCATTTTCATCAGTAATTTCATTGACAAGATTAACACTTTTCTTCACCTTAACTGGCCTAATAAAATATAAATATAAATGGATATAATGCTTGTACAGTGATTGGTATTTTGTTAATACGCAGGAAGTAGACTGGTGGTCTCTAGATGAGCTTTAGCCATCAAAATATTGGCTTTGGATTATGTATGTGCTTATTTTGTCTCTTTTGATCTGCTCAAACTAGTAACACTGACACAAACTTGTGTGTGTGTTCAACAGAAGTCATGGACAAGTTCAACACAATCGCCATAATAGATGGAAAAAAAGATCATGTCAGCCTGACGGTGGATAACGTGTATCTGGAGTACGGTGTCATGTATGAGTATGACAGCACGGCTGGGATGAAGTGTCACGTCTTGGAGAAAATGGTGGAACCAAAAGGCTTTTTCAGTCTCACGGCCAAGGTAGAATCACATGAGTCATCCCACACACACAAACCAGCCATCATCTCTGCTGTAAAGCACCAGTGAATTAATTCGTACAGAAGCAGAGGAGGCGACAGGGATTGTCTTGTACATTTGTAAGGGCCTCTTCACAGTTCACGCGTAACACACAACCACTGATAGAAGCTGACAGCAGAGTATATTAAACCAAGTGTGTGTGACAAATGAAAGTGGTCTTTACGACCCCCTGCTGTGGAATAAAATGATAAACACTTTAAATCACAGAGCTTGTCGCTGTGTGGAGACTAAGGAAGGGAAGAGACATAAATTACTTATGAAAGTATTTTTCCTGGGTTTTTTTTTTTTGCGTGAATTTTACTGACTCTGGAAATATTTTTATTTGACCCCTCCAAAAATATAGGGTACAACTATTAATGTTCATTAATGTTCAATACAAACATATATATATATATATTTTCTACAATTATACATTTTAGGCACAGTGAAAAGCAAAGTTTTTCTTAAGGTGTGCCTTCAGCCCTGTTGTACCCTCTCGTCGTACAGAAGCAGAGGAGGCGACAGGGATTGTCTTGTACATTTGTAAGGGCCTCTTCACAGTTCACGCGTAACACACAACCACTGATAGAAGCTGACAGCAGAGTATATTAAACCAAGTGTGTGTGACAAATGAAAGTGGTCTTTACGACCCCCTGCTGTGGAATAAAATGATAAACACTTTAAATCACAGAGCTTGTCGCTGTGTGGAGACTAAGGAAGGGAAGAGACATAAATTACTTATGAAAGTATTTTTCCTGGGTTTTTTTTTTTGCGTGAATTTTACTGACTCTGGAAATATTTTTATTTGACCCCTCCAAAAATATAGGGTACAACTATTAATGTTCATTAATGTTCAATACAAACATATATATATATATATTTTCTACAATTATACATTTTAGGCGCAGTGAAAAGCAAAGTTTTTCTTAAGGTGTGCCTTCAGCCCTGTTGTACCCTCTCGCTCTCTCTCTCGCTCTCTCTCTCTCTCTCTCTCTCTCTCTCTATATATATATATATAAATATGTGTATATGTTTTTTTTATCCATTTGGCAATCAAGTGTTGTCTTGCATATCACATGTTGTATTTTGTTCTCCAAGTTTTGCAAGTGTTGCAGGTTTTGTGCGCACACCTCTCCTTTTTTTTTTCCTTAGCAAGGGAGCGCGAGAGAAAGAGATGCGGTTATGTGAAGTGTGATATCTGTTATTAACTTTAGCTTGAATATGTTTAGCACTGCATTGCATCCTGTGGTGTGTGATCTTAGCTGCTTGAATAGCTGTTTATCATGCTTGTTTACAAATTAACGCCATTTTTTGTTTCCTAAAAATTGATTTCTGTGATTTACAATCTACGTTAATGAACCAACAGCTGTCAGGAAAGACTGTTCAGCGTTCTGTTGCCAAGCAGTGGGGGCATCGCAGCTTGAGAGTGACGTCTCAGAAACGCAAGCTAATGGCATTCTGATGTATTGACATGTTCTACATATTAAGACTCTCTTTTGTTTTAAATTCCCTTAACTGCCATCAATTTCTGCCTTATTACAAACATCTGCTTGGGTAGGTCTGCACTTCCTCTGAGAAAACTCTCTTCAGAGAAATGTTCATATTTCAGTGCTGTTAGGCAGATTACATGCAATTGTTATGGTCACAGTGTGCTCTTAAATTTCTCCTCTCCTCCACAGTCTCACAGGCAGAGGCGTCTCTCTCTCTTATGAGAAAATAATTCTACCACCGTGTGTGTTAAATCAATTTTTTATTGCCCTACTATTCTTGGTTGCATAGACAGCAGCAAAAGTGTATTTGCATGTAAAGGATAATTATATTATATATTCATTAAATACTTTTATTTATTTAATTAATTTTTGTATTTAATTAACATAGAGAAAAAAATGTTTTGGTAATTTTGTTAGTTTATATATATATATATATACACACACACACACGCACAATTTGTTTACTTATTTTTAAGTAAAAAGTTTTTTTTTATATAAAAAAAGCAATAATTATTTGAATAATATTTTACATCTTTTTTTTTTAATAATTTGATGTTAGTTTTAGTTTTAAACTTTTCATGAATTTTTGTTTTAAATTTAAATTCCATGAATTCAGTAAATTTGATGAATAATGTGATACAATATAACATGGAACTTTGACATCTTTTGAATTACACTCCTGATTGAGCAACATTACATAGCAACTGCAAATAAATAAATAAATAAAAACTATTGATCTTGTACTGAGGGCATGTGTTCCTACCGGTTACAAAAGCTTCTTATTGAGAATGATCATGGTTACTGCATGTCGTGTTGGAACGTGAATGGCCTTAACTGTGTAAAACACTCACAGGACATCTAGTCTTGTTTTAGTGTAAATTAATACTATTTTTACAGTCATACAACTATTAAAGGTTTAGTTCACCCAAAAAACTAAAATTAGCCCATGTTTTACTCACCCTCAAGGCATCCTAGGTGTATGACTTTCTTCTTTCAGACGAATCCAATCAGAGTTATATTAAAAATTATCTTTGCTCTTCCAAGCGTTAAAATGGGAGTAGGCAGGTGTTTTTTTTTTACAACAGTCCAAAATTAGTCAAATAAAGCGCATCCATCCATAATAAAACGTGCCTCACACAACTCCGGAGGGCGAATAAAGGCCTCCTGTAGCGAAGTGATGCGTTTTTGTAAGAAAAATATCAATATTTAAAATGCTATAAACACTTTTCTCTCACTTCCGCTAACTGTCACACGTGCAAGTCATTCCGGCGGATGACGTAGGACATATGCATCATGCACGCGCCTGTGAGATATGCTAGTCTCGCGAGTCACGAGTTTGTTTACAGGAGCAAAGGAAGCAAAGTTTCCCTACTTTAGCAAAAAAACTGTCTCCTTTTGGTTTATTGGACATTTTTCTTTACAAATCCTCGTTTTGTGCTTCTAATTCGTATTGTGCTTCTAATTCGTGACTGGCATTTTGTTTTGCTGTCTCTCCGCTGCGATTGCGCATTCGTCACTAATCACCGGTGCGTGTGCGACGCATACGTCCTACATCATCTGCCCGGAACGGCTTCCGCCTATGATAGTTAGTGGAAGTGAGAGAAAAGTGTTTATAACGTTGTAAACATGGATATTTTTTTTTACAAAAATGCATTGATTAGCTAAAGGAGGCCTTTATTCACCCCCCCGGAGCCATGTGAGGCACATTTTATTATGGATGGATGTGCTTTATTTGACTAATTTTGGACTGTTGAAAAAAACAACCGCTTACTGCCATTCTAACGCTTGGAAGAGCAAGGACAATTTTTTATATAACTCTGATCGGATTCGTCTGAAAGAAGAAAGTCATATACACCTAGGATGCATTGGGGGTGAGTAAAGCATGGGCTAATTTTCATTTTTGGGTGAACTAAACCTTTAAGGAAATAAGGGTTGGATAATAACCACAAAGGAACGACAACATTTCTGTGTATCTGTTTTAGAAAATGCATGCAGTGTTTCTAACTCACTTGACCTACGGTAGTTTTGCTCACTTTATCCGTATTACTGACAGAGGAACGGTGGAAAGAACATCTGGTATATGATCGAAAAACCCGAACTCATGCTCTGTGTCTTTCTTTGTGTGATTTGTCAGATTTTAGAAGCCTTGGCCAGGAACGATGAGCAGTTGGTGCAGACTTGCAGTCGACTGAGCTCCAGCATAGAGCTCATCCCTGAGGACCTGCAGACCAGATTCAGTGCAATGTGCGGCGAGAGACTGGAGCATATCAATCGAAGAATCACTAATTACAGGAAGGTCAGCAAGCATTGTATGAATCACTTCTTCTTACAGAATGAAAAACGGGTCTGGACTGGTCTAGCTGGACCAGCATATCCATGTTTTCACTAGGAAAAACTTTGAGTCATGGCATTTGTAAAGCACAACTGTGCTGTGCATTTTTAGCAAGTGAAAGTGTTAAGTGAAAATATTGTCATCATTCACTCTTTCTTTCTCTTTTCCATTCAGTGGAAGTGAATGTGGGCAAATGTTATCAAACACCTATCATTCCAAACAAAATCACCATAACATAATGAAAGTAAACAAATTCATATCTAAAATATAAAAGTCAACATTAATATTATTATTATTATTATTTGTATAAATTTTTTTTTTTTAGATATTTATTAATTGTATATTTTATTGATGCATTTTATTTATTAACATATTTTATTTATAAAATATACTTATTTGTATTAATTTTCTTATTATTTTATATTTGTATAATTTTTTTTTTAGATATTTATTAATTGTATATTTTATTGATTCATTTTATTTATTAACATATTTTATTTATATTTTACTTATTTGTATTAATTTTCTTATTATTTTATATTTGTATAATTTTTAATTTTTTTTAATAAAATTCTTTCTTTCTTTCTTTCTTTCTTTCTTTCTTTCTTTCTTTCTTTTTTTTTTTTTTTAGATATTTATTAATTGTATATTTTATTGATGCATTTTATTTATTAACATATTTTATTTATAAAATATACTTATTTGTATTAATTTTCTTATTATTTTATATTTGTATAATTTAATTTATACAAATATCTAATTAATTTTTTTTATAAAATTCTTTCTTTCTTTCTTTCTTTCTTTCTTTCTTTCTTTCTTTCTTTCTTTTTGTTTTATTGCTTTATACTGTAATATTTGTGAGGAATAGACCAAAACTAAAACCATCATTCACTGAAAATCCTTTCAGTGGATAACATTTATGCTGTGCATATTCAATTATGGAACATTGACACTTTCTTTCTTTCTTTCTTTCTTTCTTTCTTTCTTTCTTTCTTTTTGTTTTATTGCTTTATACTGTAATATTTGTGAGGAATAGACCAAAACTAAAACCATCATTCACTGAAAATCCTTTCAGTGGATAACATTTATGCTGTGCATATTCAATTATGGAACATTGACAGAATTTTTTTTTTTGGTTGAACTATTCATTGTAGTTTTTTTTTATTTTACTTTTCTACTTTTTGTAACTTTTTTACCTGTAGTTAAAAAAAATAGCATTTTAGCCTTTTTCCTCCTTATTAAGCTTGTTGACTAAATCTTGCTGGAAATGGTAGTTATAAAACACAATTTGAGACACCTGAACACCCACATCCAAAACTAAATGCCATATGTTGGTGTTTTTAGCAGGGTGGATCTTTTTCTGTGCTTTAAAAACTATTTTCAATGTCTTAATACATTTTTCTGGTTGGTGGCATTTAGATGGCTGCAGCTAAGAAAACTTTGCTTGACTTGTAGCACTTCAATTTAGGTTACCGAACAGGAAACCGTCCCACCCTGTCCTTTTTAACACCAACTGGCTTTGATTGATGAAATGTGCGAGTCCACCAGTACCAAGGGAAGCAGGCTTGTGCAAAATGTCATTTTTAATTTCTATCAGCTGCTCTTATTTGGAGCAAGAAAAGGAAAATACGTCCACAAGCATCTGACAGTTTCCCTTGTTTTTCCCTGTGATCTGATTCAACATCCCACTCAGCACTGGATTAATTAGCTGTTGCTTCACCGGCTATAAATAGCTCTGAACATCCCGTCTTGTTGCATAATTTCCCTTCTGCTGTGTTCTCAGTAGGGCCCCGTGAGAGGTCTGGCAGGGTCCGGACCTCGGACACTGAAGCTCCCCGTTTGTCAAAGCTAGCCAGGAATGTGGGAAGTCCGGTCTGAGGGGAGGCTACGTGTCCAGGGCAATGTAACCCGTCCAGTGTAGTCCGTGATCGCAGCCATTCATGATCACAACCATAGAATCATTATGTCACTGTTGGAAAAAGGCGAGGTTCAAATCCCTGCTCAAGGGGAGCATTGAGGTCTTGTCAGCCTGTTACTGATTAAATTACATGCTCCTGTGCCTGAAGCCATGACTTTGAATGCAAACTGTTTAAATCAGTTATAATTTCAGGTGCAATATGGATCTATTCAAGAACAGTCTTGCTTTGTAAATAAATGACCCCAATATGATTGATTTTCTACATGTTGAAAAAGGACACTCCTATCCTGGTCAAGCTGGTCTTCAGTTGGTCTATCTGTTCTTCTAGCATGAAAACATTTGTGTTCAGCTGATTTAGCTAATTAGCCAGCTGATCTCTTAGCCTGACTAGCTGAAAAGAAAACAGTCCTCTAAACCAGTGGTCTTCAACCTTTTTTGCTCCAAGGCCCCCCATTGTTGAAGACACTATTTGAAGGCCCCCTAAGTAGGACTGGGAGATATGACCAAAATCTTACATCACGAAATGAGTCATTTTATTTCAAGGCAACTCTATATATCATGATATAATTATTTTTGCTTTAAATAAGGTCTTTATGATATCAAAAATGTTGATACCATAGAAATTTCATAATTCTTGACACCAGTGTCAACATCACAAAAAACTAACCTAAAAAAAGAAAAACTCACGCTCACTGAAAACAACTAAATAGTCAGCGATTAAATAATGATGAAACTAATCACAAGCAATAGGGCAAATAAATTAGAAATGCTACATGCGTTGTATAATCAAATGAAAAAAAGTAATCAAATGTATAAAAACACTGCATATTCTTCACTGTGTGCATTAAATATATATTTCTTCTTATTAAAGTTACAAAAGTAATTTAGTCAAGAGCAGAGAGTGATTTCCTCTCTTTTGTTGTTTGACAGACAGCAGGAATATTAGACTGCTGTCACTTTAAGAGCTGCCCAGATCCAAAATACTGTTACACATGTGTTTTCTTTCTCAGCTGTTTGCTTTCACTTAAGACCTAAATTACTGTGTTTATGAGGATACTTGCAAAGACTGGCATTTTGATACATACAAGTGTGTCTATTTTGTTCAAGTCCTATAAAGTGGCAAAAATAACTCAGTTTAATACTCCCGCTCTAAGTACCGTCTTCACGTGCGCGCACCTCTCAGACAGAGCACACATATAGCGAAATTAGTTCTCTTTCACTGCTGATAGTTGGGAACCACTGCTTTAAAACTATCAAAATACACCAGCCTGACCAATGAAAACCAGCCTAAGCTGCCAGCTAAGACCTTAAACCACCATAGACTGGTTTACTGTTAAACACACCAAGAACATCAACAGGTGATTGGAGATGTTGATGGATCGGTGTTTTTATAGTGTGTTTGGCATACACTGTACTGAGCTTTTGTATTGTCAAAACACTTGTGTTCACAGTTTAATCTGAAAGTTAAAATGCACCAGAGCTTGATGGGAAAGTGCTGAATTTAGCATGGGCTTAGCATGTTAGCATACCAGACTCAATCCAAAGATCCTATGGCTAACTCTTAATGACGCCAGGTTGGTTGAAGCAACACAGTATTGTTGTTTTGGGTACAGTAGTACAGGTTTAGATGATTTACATAGGGAAAACCAATAAGCTCTTGTTCATATTCACACAAATATTTACTGTATTTTACACTAATGCCTCTCTGCTCTCAGTTTTCACGGGTTTTGAAGAACAGGGCCTGGCCCACGTTCAAGCAGGCAAAGACCAAGGTTTCCCCTCTACACAGCAGTGACTTCTGCCCCACCAACTGTCACATCAACGTAATTGAGGTGTCTTATCCCAAGACCACTACTTCCCTTGGAAGTGCCTTCGGAGTCCAGCTGGACAACAGGAAGAACACTCTGGAGAAAGGAGGCTGCAATTCAGAGCAGGGTGAGTGAAGATAGATTCCTAAATTTAATGTATGAGCAGAGACTGTTCATTATAGGAAGTAATGGCCAGTTTAAAGACACCTACAGTATGAAATAAATATTGAGTTTTAATAGTTTTTTTCTACTGGTTTGTGATTTCAGGCAAGCTGAACCCCATGGTTTACGTCCAGCATAGTATCACCAGCATGGCCGCCCCATCAGGACACAGTCTGAGCAAGGCAGAAGGTCACGGTCTGCGCTTCCTGCTCCGAGAGGATGACCTGCTCATCCTGGATGCCTACCACAAACTTCTGACCAAACTCACCACTGTCGTCAAAGAGATGGAGTGTTACGCCGCCCAGATTCATGAGTATGACATTTTTATTTGGTAATATCTTTGTTTGGTCATGTGACCGTTAAAAACATGAATATATAGCTTGCCTTTTCAGCCTAGTACAACATCTGTCTTAAAATTCAATACTTAAATTGGCAAAAAGTCAAGTTTTGAAGTGAATCAAAACTTTTTAAGGCAAACAGAGTTTAGAGTGCAGAGTTTAGAGTGACTGAACTCTATTACTGCCCTTTGCTTCCAGAGTACTCTGTAACTCACCACAAAGAGAGCTTGATCATTAGAAATGTATTATCTTCATTGTGGTTTATGTATTATTCTCTATATTCTTTTGTTGGTAGACTACCCTCTGAATTAACTGGTCTACCTGGTTATCATGCTTTTAAAGTCACAGAGAGGTTGGAAAGAAATCAGAAAAAAATAAATTATTATTTAGGTGTTAAGTGCAAAACATCCATGGCTAATATTAGTGATACAGTGAATATGTAAACATACCTCGATCAAAAGGTTAGAAGGAAAATAGAAAGAGCTTTAGAATCAGAATCAGAAAGAGCTTTATTGCCAAGTCTGTTACACACACAAGGAATTTGTCTTGATGACAGGAGCTTCCATTGCAGAAAGTACAGACATAGTGCAGACATACATATTCAGTAATGTGAGGTAATAAAAAGAAAGATGACACTAATAATAATGGGAGTAGACAATAAATTAATTAAATAATAACTATATGGTAATGAAAATATAAAGAAAATAGACAGAATTAAGAATGTTCAAAAGTGCTATTAAAGATAAAGATAAATAAAAAAGAAAATATATTTGGTTGACCATTGTAAAATCTTAATGTCAGACTCTGTTCCGTGTTTTGTGTTTTGTTCCCCACGTGTTCCATGATCCAGTTTTCCCTCATGTTTAATTATTGTTTCATTAGTTCCAGGTGTGTCTCGTCAGCCCATCCTCCAGTCATTTGTATTTAAAGTGTTTCCTGTTTTGAGTTCTCTGTCCGGTATTGTATATGTCAACCTCTCCTGCTACGTGTGTTTTCCTGGTTCTCTTGTGTACTCCTCGTCTCCTTGTTCCTCACTCCGCGCTCCCTCACAGTAGCGATTGTGACAGAATACCGGACCAAAACAGAACATAAAGTGAGCGGCGCTTCTTCTCCCCAAGTTTTTTTTTCAGTTTTTGAAAGTCTTTTGTTTCCCCCCCCCCGTGATTATGGAGATCGCTGCACGCTTCATAGCCATAGTCCATAAGGATCTCCCCTTCGTCGAGTATGCCTGGGAGTTCTGCTGGCTCGATGCGGCGACAGCTTTAGATGACGCCACCATCAACTCTCTGTTCTGGCACGGGGTCAGTTACCATCGCCCCATGGACCTCCCAGACACCATGGGACTAAGCTGGAGGGAAGGGATCCGCCGGGGTGTCTGGAGAGTGTCCGGCCCCGAGCCAGAACCAGCCCGCCGGCCACGCCATTCTCTAGCACGCCGGCCGCTGCTGTGTCAAGTCCGCCGACCACAAATTTCACCCCGAACCTAACTAGGAATCTAAGGAAAAGGCGGTTGGTTCTAGTCCCTAGGCTTGCTCCAGTGTCGGCTCCAGCCCCAGAGCTCGCTCCAGTGTAGGCTCCAGCCCCCGAGTCTAGCCCAGAGAGGGCTCCAGTCACCGTGTCTAGCCCAGAGAGGGCTCCACTCCCCGAGTGTAGCCCAGAGAGGGCTCCAGTCCCCGAGTTTAGCCCAGTGGGGGCTCCTGTCCCCGAGTTTAGCCCAGAGAGGGCTCCAGTCCCCGAGTTTAGCCCAGTGGGGGCTCCTGTCCCCGAGTTTAGCCCAGAGAGGGCCCCACTCCCCGAGTTTAGCCCAGAGAGGACTCCAGTCCCCGAGTTTAGCCCAAGGAGGGCTCCAGTCCCCATGTCCAGCCCAAGGAGGGCTCCAGTCCCCACGTCAAGCCCAGGGAGGGCCACAGTTCTTGAGTTAGGTCTACAGAGGGCCTCTAAAGACTATATTCTCCCCAAGGATTTTTTTTTGGGGGGGGTGTAGGGGTCCATCCGGGGAGGCCGGGCTGAGTGCTGTGGCCAGGCTCCCCGAGCTCCCTGTTCCGCCATGGCCTCCTGAGCTGTCTGCTCCGCCATTGCCTCCTGAACTGCCTGCTCTGCCATGGCCTCTTGAACTGTCTGCTCTGCCATGGCCTCCTGAACTGCCTGCTCTGCCATGGCTTCCTAGTCTGCCTGCTCCGCCATGGCACCCTAGACTGCCTGATCCGCCCTGGAGGTATTACATGTGTCCCAGTCCTGCACCAGCCTCCAGGGTGCCCACCCCAGTAATGGAGTAATGTTAGACTCTGTTCCGTGTTTTGTATTTTGCTCCCCACGTGTTCCATGACCCAGTTTTCCTTCATGTTTAATTATTGTTTTATTAGTTCCAGGTGCGTCATCCCATCCTCTAGTCATGTGTATTTAAAGTGTTTCCTGTTTTGAGTTCTCTGTCCGGTGTTGTATATGTCAACCTCTCCTGCTACGTGTGTTTTCCTGGTTCCCTTGTGTTGGATAATTAAAGTCTCCTTGTTGATGTACTCCTCGTCTCCTCGTTCCTTGCTCCGCGCTCCCTCACAGTAGCGACCGTGACACTTGGGTTGACGTTAGCTAATTATATTAAACACTTGAAGGTTAACTTATTTGCATTTTTACATCTCCCTTGACTCTAAATGATTTGAGACATTTATTCAGATGTTGGATTTGGAATCAAATGACGTCTGTAATCACGCAAATTGTTTCTAGATCTGACAGTTCTTATAACTGCTAGAGTCTCTATGGGATGTTACTGTCCCAGCAACCGTGTAATCTCTGTACATTTCACATGACCTAACATCTGAAATTTGCATTATGTCTCTAATTACCTTTTTTCTCCAGCAACTAAACGTGTGTGTGTGTGAGAGACACTTTAGTAAAAAGAGAGTGGGTTCTTCCTGTCTGAGCCGAGCTGTTGATGGTTTAATTTTCTGGAAGCACATTAACACCTTGAAGGAAATGGGACACTCTGAGGCCCCTATCCCAAAATGGAAATCTGCAAAAATAAAATAAATAAATAAATAAATGCCACAAGAGCACTGAACTCAAGCAGTACACTGTAAATGTCACTCTCCCTGAGCAATTTGCAAAGTGGCACAAGCGACTAACAAGACTACATTTCGCTGTCTTTCTTTCTCTTTCCCTCTGTTCTTTCCAATTCTATACATACCAACTATAGTTTAAATAAAAAAAACATCCATTGTCCCATCAGTCTTTGAAGTTTCATCATTACATGGACAACACATGCTCAGATCATCGGTGGACATGATGCAATTACAGCTAGTCTTGATCTGCGGTGGGGGTGGCACCTTTCACTGCTGCTGCCATATGCTTGTCAGTGCCGATTGCTGGCTGAATGTCTGTGAGTGTGCTTATTGGCAAGGCTGTCCTTGATCTGGTGGGGAGATAATGACCTTCCTCACAGCCCTGGGCAAGAGAGAGTGCTGTAATGGCTGCCTGGAGGTGGTTGTCAGACAGCCATCCCTATCATGCAGCAATAATGGGGCAAATAACAGCCGAGTAGCTCATCGGAGCCACTTCTGGAAGCCTCTGACTCCGCTGTGGATTAAGAATTGCATTGATCTCTACAGTTGTTGAGGTTGAAGAAAAGGCTAAGAAAATCAAGGTATGAGGGGATCTGAAGTGGGTGGTTCAGAAAAACTAGCCTGGTGTTTATTGTTGCTGTAAAGGGACACTTCAGCCAAAGATGAAAACTGTAATTTTTTTATCAACTTTTTGTCATTCCAAACCTGTATGACTATATTCCTACTATATGTGAAACAAAAAAATATATTTTGAAGCCTTATGAACTTCATATGTTCATAAAATGAAAGGTGCCAGCAATGTTGTTTTGGACCCCACTGACTTTCATTATATGGACAAAACAATTCAAACATTTTCAAAATATTTACTTTTGTGGCCCACAGAAGAAGTCATATAGGTTTAGAATAAAATGAGGGTGAGTAAAATAAAGATGACTTAAAATAATTTAAAATAAGACAAAACAGGCAAAACAACAGGAGCCAAGAATGCTGCACTGGTCTCTTCACGTAATCAACGGTGCTCTTTGGATATTTGGAGGTAAATACCAAACTGAGAAGATGAAATACTCCAAGGCACTCGTGTAGTAAAAATAAGACAAAACATGCACTGAAATAAGCTAAATCAAATAAAAATCAAGATAATTAATATTTTAATTCACCTCAACAACTGTTTGTTTTCTTTGAAGACCCAGGATTCCCGGGATTTATGAGGAAGTCAAATTTTAAATGTGATTTATGTACCTGGAAAGGTCATGAATTAATAAAATCTTCAAATGCCACATTTTCCTATTTACAAGCTCTAAAATATGTATTGTGAAAAATAGGAATAAAATAGAATATCCACATCCAGTAAATCAATCAATCAACTGTCATGTCAGTTATGTACTGTATATTCATTGGTTAAAAATAGTGGAGTGGAAACCCTACAGAAAATTATGATTCCTGAAATGTTATTAATTTTTACTTTTACATGTACTAGGATTTTCCATAGATTAAAGGGTTAGTTCACCCCAAAATTAAAATTCTGTAATTAATTACTCATCCTCATGAGGTTCCAAACCCATAAGACCTTCATTCATCATCTGAACACAAATAAATTTTTGATGAAATCTGAGAGCTCTCTGACACTCCATAGAGAGCAATGAAATGTTCCCAGGTCCAGAAACATAGTAAGGACATCGGTAAAACAGTCCATGTGACATCAGTGGCTCAACTTCAATTTTGCGAAGCTACGAGAATACTTTTTGTGCGCAAAGAAAAAAAAAATAATGACTTTATTCAACAATTCTTATTATATAATTGTTGAATAAATTGTTATTTTTGTTTTTTTTGCGCACAAAAAGTATTCTCGTAGCTTCGCAAAATTGAAGTTGAGCCACTGATGTCACATGGACTGTTTTACCGATGTCCTTACTACCTTT